GAAAAAAAAGGAGTCACAGAAATGTTAATTTCAACGAATATATTGAACCTCAAAAAGAAACTTCCTGATTCTGTCAAATATTTGTGAAATGATATTGGAAATTTATATGCTTAAATTCCTTTAAAACAATCTTCCCTGAATGCTGCTTTACATGTATTTATGATATTGTCTTCAAGTTTCTTTATTAGATGCTGTGTAGGATGCGACATTATGATCGTTTGTTGTTTCCATCTGTGTTCACATCATTTTGAATTCCTTCTTATTATTGTATTATTATTATTCACAAGGTTGTAATTTTTTGGTGACATTTATGATTCTTAATTCTTGACACGGGTTTTCTCTGAGAAGAAAAAAAAATTAATACTAACATTAGTTTGACCAAGTTATTACAAAACAAGTGTTGTTTTACTAAAAACAATTTACACATAATAGTCATTATGTCCTATAAATCCAACTGAATCTAATTTGCTTATTTGTTTGTTACTTTTTGAGCATATGCTTTCTGTTTTTGTTATTACTATTTCCACTAATTGCTGTTATAGTTTTCAACTTTTCGGACATTTTTGACCTATTATTATTATTAAGTATTAACACACGTAATCGATGTGTTGATCCGAATACATATAAAATATCATATTTGAATTTGATTATTGTCCTTTGACATATAAATTCATAATAACCTTTGGGAGCTGTCCTGTGGCTGAATATTTCAGGGAGGGTATTCTGTAAGAAAGGGTGTAATGCTGATGGTGATACATGGGAGGAATGTAATGCTTCTTTCTTTTGTCAATCTTCATTGGTTTTCTTTATTAAAATAAATATGTTTATTACGTTTTTCGTCCCTGAGTTAAGCTGATTTATAAAATTTCCATCCCAAAAAGTGTTCTCTTGCAGTTTTGGTCCTTATATGAGTTTTTTTTTGGTCCCTATTCCAAGTAAGTTGACTATAATATTCTTGGGAACATAATTGCAAGAGTAAATTACACGAATGGTCCCTATGGTTTGGGGTAATTTGCGTGCTTGGTCCCTAACTGTTTGTTTTTGTTACGTCCTTGGTCCTTACTGTTTGTTTTTGTTACGCGCTTGGTCCCTAATGTTTATTTTCGTTACGCGTTTGGTCCCTGTATTACCTAAAAAAACTACTACATTATTTAAATAGGGAAAATTGGCGGGGTAGGTAAGGTAAGGTGAGTGGGGTTGGGGTTGGGGGTGTGTATATCTAAATAGATTAAAAAATGAAGGGAAAAATAGTCTTTTTAGGTAAGATAGGGACCAAGCGCGTAACAAAAACAAACAGTTAGGGACCAAACATGCAAATTACCCTAAACCATAGGGACCATTCGTGTAATTTAGTCTAATTGCAAACATCAGCTATATTTGGAGAAAAAAAAAATAGTCATTTTACTTGAAAAAGGGAATAAAAACGTTACAAGAACCTCAATAAGGAACAAGAGACAACTTTTTGGTATCAAAACTGAAAAAATCAGCCAAACTCAGGGACCTAAAATGTAAATCACCAATGGTCTTATTTTGTGTAAGTGTAAATATATTTAGGCTTGAGTGAGTGTGATGAGATATGCTACAAAGATCCAGTCTTGAAAGACCAACAATGGAGTGCTTACATTGATCGCTCTCCTGGTTCTGCTACTTACTCACAGGTTTTTTCGTTTCTTCAACTCTGTGTGTGTAAAAAGACGTGAATGCCCTCATCCACATTTCATCAAAAAATAGCCCCATATGAACAATTTGGGATTTTAGGAGATAAGTAATATGCCCAAGATTTTACCATATTAATAATAATGAGTTTTAGGGAATGAGGGCAAATTTGTAAAAAATATGGACTTAATGGGGAAAACCTCAATTATTGATTTTCTGTTTTAAGTCGTTTAAGTAAAAAATAAATAAACAATTATATAATGACAAAACTGCACAAATGGTCCCTGTGGTTAGCTGAAAATTGCCACTTTGGTCCAAAAAGGTTTGGACTTTCATTTTGTTGCGAGTTTGGTCAAGTTTTCTATAAACTTTTTCATAATGACTATTTTGCCCTTATTTCTTTTTTCTTTTTCAGTTTTTTTTATTATTTAAATAGTTTTTCTGATTAAAAAAAAAATAAAAAAGAAAATTTGCATTTTCTAATACTTTGTCTTCAGGATTGCTTTCATGCTTGTGTCTCGGGCTGTGGTTATAAGGTCAGTTTTGTTTTTGTTTTTCTTTTCTTTTTTGATTAATTTTAGACAAAAATGCAAAAATGGTCCCTGTGGTTTGCATTTTTTTTTCCGGGTTTTGGTCCAAACAGTGAAAATTTATAATTAATGATCCTTTTGACCATGTTTCTTTATAGATTTGGTCCCTGTCAAAATTGAAAAGTCTATTTTACCCTTTTAATTTCTTTTTCCCATTATTTGTTACTTTTTGGACCAAAACCCGGAAAAAATGCAAACCACAGGGACCAATTTTGCACTTTTGTCATAGTTTTATGTTGGAATTTCTTAGCTTTTGTGAGGAATGAAATGGCTACGTAAATACAATTTATTGCAGTTTGATATTCCATCTGAAAAAGTTACTGAAGTTCATCCAAACCGGCCATTACCACCACCACCACCACCACCTGCCGCCAAAACCAACCCACCACCACCCCGAAAATCCGGCTCTATCACTGAAGATGTACCCAGCACTTCAGCATAACCACAGTTTTTATGACACATGTAAAATGTGTCAATTTTGTCTCAAGTTATTTAACCCAAGGAATCAGATGATTACATACTGGTTACTTAAGTTTTTTGTTTTTTCCCCTCACCCGGGGGTATAAACGACTTTTGACATCTTTTTACCTGTAAATGGTAAAAAAACCCTAAAAAAAAAAGACGTTATGTAGGTTTTTATGATACCATTGCCTTGTAAACTTTGGTGACGTGGGAAGATTTGTTTATATATAATTGAATTGTGTTTATTTTATGATACTAAGTTTCTCTGGACTTTTTAAATCTGTAACGAAATCTAAAAAGGTGGGATTGAGACTCTTTTATTTGTGTAAAAGATGTCGATGCTTTATGTTCTTTAAATCACTTTAATAATCTTCATGTGCCATGTACATGCTCAAAACGGTTAAGTTAGTTATGTTAGTTGGAGTTTCTTAAAAGTTTGTGTACTTAAAGCTATTGTATTCTTTCTTTAAAAGCAAATTTAATTAAATAATAAAAAACTTCACTTGTACATTGTTTCCCCCCTCAACTTATACATAGGTGGAACCGAGTTTTAGAACCCAAAAACCCAGAAAATTTGGTACTCTCGACTTATATAGGGCTGTTTTGATCTTGAACTTCTCAAGAAAAGTGATCATTACTCTGCAACCATAAATCTTCACGCATGTTTAAATTTGATACCATCTGTTTAAATAAAGTGTCCCCAAAGACTAATATTAAGAGAACATTGAACCACATTCTGGTAAACAAATCAGACACAAGGGACTTATAACGCATCGATTATGACAAATTAAACTTAAGTAAAAATTGTCAACCATGCAGAAACATCAACAAATCGAATTTGATGCCTCCTCCTGTAAGTCGGTCAATACATATCTAAATAAGGTGTTTCTGGAGTGTTAAATTAAGAGATCACATTAAAATACATTATAGAAAAAAAAAAAAAAATAAGCAAATCGGACTTATAACTATAACACCACAATTCATAAATGTAATATAAGTGATTATATGTGGTTTTGGTAACATATTAGGTTGGAATGTATGATATTTTGTATTAAGGACTTAATGGGTTAAGAAGGGCAAAATAGTAAGAAAAAAATGTATAAAGGGAATTTTCAATATTTGTGACACATCTATGTAAGGTTATGAGGGTTCTAAAAGCTACTAAGGTGCACAGTTGTAACACCTAATTTTCACTTTTAAAGATATAACAATATAAACCTTTTTTTTTTATATAAATGAAAGTGAAAACATATTATTTTGGTCAAAGGGATCTAAATAAAAGTTATAAGTACACCTAGATTTTACGGTTTAATTATTAAATAAATGTCTAATAGTTGACTAACTTTGTTTATATATGTAACATCTAAAAAATCAAAGAAAAAATTTTCATTTTTAAATCAAAAGAAATCATTGTTTTCAGATAAAACACAAATCAAACCAAACGTTTACAAAACATTGTTCTCAAAAGTAGAAATCATATATCAGAGTGTCCCAAATTAGTATCATCAAAACTAAGAGGATGTGCACGGTCATGCATTTGCTTACCTGAAACATAAAACTGAAACCATAAGTCAAAGTTTAGCGAGTTCCTCTAAAGTAGCACCACACAACAGATAATACATACAATCATGTATGTTAGGACCAATTAGTTATCAGACTGGAATGCCTTCAGGTCCACAACCATCGGGTTGGATTACCCCCAGCCTAATCAGTCATCAGACTGGAATACCACTATACAACGAGCCCAATTAGTCATCGGACTACTATACCCTCGGGTCCACAACCATTGGGCTGGATTACCCCCGGCCTGTTGGCTCATGCATATAGCAGTAAAGCCTCAACCCCAAACCGTACTATGTCGACATATGTAATAAATAATCATATAACAATCAACAGGCAACAGGGAACAAGCATATCTACAGATTATTACCACATACATCCTATATACCAGGATACATATCTAACAGATCATTACATCATAATAACATCATGTATATCAAGGCACATAACGTAGTGGGCCGGTATTGGTGCCTTCGAACCACAAGTACAATGAGGAAAACTCACATCTCGGTCTGAAAAGATATCTAAATAGGACATTGCTCAGAATATCAGCTCAACCGATCACCTATTCATGAAAAATGACCAAACTCAACTACAATTCAATATACCTAAAATACCCCTAGGTCAAACTTGGTCAAAACCTGGTCAAAGTCGAAAATCAGAACTCCACTGAGTTGAATCGACTAAGTATGCCTAGTGTACTCAGCATGTACACTTAGTATACTCAAGGTCTAAATCGTGCTTCCAAGGGAGTACTCCCAGCATACTCAGAAGTAGGGCCAACATACTCGACCAAAAGACATTTCCCTTTTTAAGTTCTTAAATCATTAAGTCCTTTTGTCTAAATGCAGATCTAACCCCGAAATGATGTTCTTAACCATAAAGTTTCCAACTTTATGGTCTTGCATGGCTATTAAGTCCTTAATACATAAAACCCCAATTCCTTATCTCATTAAGACATCCTAGTTCATGCATGGAAAGAAACTAAGGTCCGAGATTACATTTTTATACTTCTAAACACTCCAAAACATCTGAAAGGACAACTTATATGAATTAGAGTAACCCATCATAATAACAAGCTTATGGGATCAAAATGAAAACAAACTTATGGCTAAACAAGATCTAATCAATACTTATCAAGATTAGAGCTTTTTAACTCCAAATGGTGTCAAATGATGATGTGATTTTAGATCCAAAATGATCCACTCTTCTAAGATGGTTTCTTCTTCCTTCTTTCTCCTTCAAGAACACCAAAATGCACATACAAGGATAAACAATGCTCTTAAATGGATTTGGGTTTGCTAAGGGGGTCAAAATGGGGTTGTAGGCTGGCGAAGGAAATTTTAATGAGGCTATAAAGGTGTTTAAATAGTGCAAAGACCCTAAATATTAGGGTTTTAGGTCCAGAACACGTACGTCCAACGTACACTTCGGGTACACCCAACGTACTTACGAAATTCCAAAAATTATGAAAAATCCACTATGGCCAGATTTGCAAACAATTCTCATACTAAGGGCATAAACGGAATACCTGGAAATCAAGATGTTACAGTTTTCTCCCACTTGAACTAGATTCGTCCTCAAAGTCAATTGTTGTGAAAACTTAGGGTAATGCTCCTGCATCTTTGTCTCAGGTTCCCTAGTCCATTTGGAACCCTTCTGATGCTTCCACTAGACTTTGACCAAAGACATCGCCTTGTTACCCAAGGCCTTCATTTTTCGATACAAAATTGTCATTAGTCTCTTGACATAATTTAGGCGATCATCAACCTGAATATCCTCCAGAGGAACAATCGCTGAAGCATCAACCACACACTTCCGAATTTGAGAAACATGGAAGGTGTTGTGAATCTGACTGAGCTCCTCGAGCAAATCCATCCTATAAGCTACCTTCCTAACCCTCAAAATCACTCGAAATGGTCGAATATACAGGGGACCTAACTTACCCATCTTCCTGAAGCATATTACACCCTTCCATGGTGATACCTTTAGCAAAACCATGTTGTCTACCTAGAACTTCAGCTCAGATCGACACTTTTCGACATAACTCTTCTGCTAAATCTAAGTTGTCTATAGTCTCTGCATAATCTACCGAATAAGCTCTGTCGTTTGAAGGACTACCTCAGTCCTTCTGATGACTTTATGACCAATCTCTCCCTAACAAATTGGGGTACGACATTTCCTCACATAGAGGAGCTCAAATGGTAGTGTACCAATACTAGAGTGATAGTTGTTGTATGAAATTCAGCTAAAGGAATCTATGAGTCCCAACTCCCACTGAAATCTATGCCACAAGATCTCAACATGTCCTCAAGTGTCTGAATGGTCCACTCACTCTGACTGGCAGTCTGTGGATGATAAGTAGTGCTAAAATGCAACCTTGTACCCAATTCCTTTTAGAACTTCTGCTAAAAATGAGAAGTGAACTGAACATCTCGATCGGATACAATGGAGACTGGAATACTATGTTGAGCAACAATATTACACACATATAAATTGGCCAATTTCTTGGCTGATGAGCTTTCTTGAATAGTTAGAAAAGGGGCGTTGTTGGTCAGATGGTCCACTATGGCCCATATTGTGTCAAATCCCTTAGCCTTCTAAGGTAACTTGGTGGTGAAATACATAGTAATATGTTCCCATTTCCACATGGGAACCTCCGATGGATGCAACTTGCCATGCGGCCTCTGGTCCTCGACCTTAGCCATCTAACAAGTCAAGAATCTCTTGACATACCATGCTATCTCCCTCTTCATGCATGACCACCAGTAACAAAGTATCAAGTCCCGATACATCTTGGTGGCTCCAGGGTGTATAAAAAATCTAGACTTGTGTGCCTCCTCCAGCACAGTCTGCCTAATCCCACCAAATATGGTACCCAAACCCGACCACACTGGATCAACAATCCTAGGTTGTTGGTGGAAAACCTGTCAATCTCACCTCTGATTCAATCCTGTTTCTAGTTCTCTTTCTTGACTCCCTCAGTCTGATCCTCCCCAATCAAATCTAACAATGGTGAATCAATAGAAATCCTCATACATAGGCTCTCGATAGCAGAATTAGTCGTCTTGCGGATCAAAGCATTAGTGACCACATTCTCTTTCCTTAGGTGATACAGAATCTCACAATCATAATCCTTGATCACATCAAGCCACCTACATTATCTCATCTTCAGATTTGGCTGATCTATAAGATATCTCAAACTCTTATGATCCGTGTAGATAGTACGGTGGACCCCATACAAATAATGCCGCCAAATGTTAAGAGAAAACAACACTTCTCCCAACTCCAAATCATGAGTCGGATAATGAACCCCATGCGGCTTCAGCTTCCCAGAATCATAAGCAATAACCCTCCCTTGCTGTATAAGCACTGCTCCATAACCTCATGAGTCGGATAACAAACCTCATGGGGCTCGAGGCTGATGAAGGAAAGGTCAATAAGGCTATAAAGTTGATTAAATAGTTCACAAAACCCTAAATATTAGGGTTTTGGCTCCATAGCACGTACGCCCAAAATACTCTTTGGCTACACCCAACATACTTAATAAATTCCCAAAATTATGAAAATTTCGTTGTGGACCAATTTCCAAACAATTCTCATACTAAGGGCATAAATGGAATACTTGGAAATCAAGATGTTTAAATGAAGGTGAAAATATATTATTTTAACCTTAGAGATCTAGTCAATTATTATTTTTTACTTTACAATTTAAGTATTGGAATCTAATATAAGGACCTAATTTACTTAAACCATGACTTTGATACCAACTTGTTGAAGGAATTTATAGGTTGCGAAAATCATGTACTTGCGGAACAC